CATGGTTGAAACTTGCCATGGAGAGAAATGGCCACCAGATCTGGTCTAAATATGCAGTTAGTGGGCAGTTGAGGGAATCAAAACAACGTTACACACCATTAGGAAGGAGAAGAATCCAGTAAGGACATCTATGGGGTTCCAAAGTCAGTGCATGCAGAGGTTTGACACAAGATGCGGCCATCGCAATGGCAGTTACTCCAATACCACGTATTCCCAGGCTTGAGTATTTGTAGGCGCGATGTAGTTGCTGTAATGGTGGATGTTGCAGATGTAGCTAAAAATGGACTCATGCGGTAGGATCTTCATGGGATGATTAGTTGTGGGGTAGTGGCGCCAAAGTTAAAGTTTCAAGTTCTACTGCCAACAACCAATCAACAACCTTTGTGAAACATGTTGTTTGTCATATAACTTAGCTTAGGCCTCGTGTCTCAGGATCTTCATGGGATGATTAATTGTAGGGTGGTGGTGCAAAAGCCAAAGGTGAAAGTTTCTACTGTCAACAACCAATCAACAACCTTTATGGAAAACACGTTGTGGTCACATGTTTGTCATATAACTTAGTTAGGCCTCATGTTTCAGTGTTTAAAACTCCGAAGCCTTGCCAAACATAGATCCGAGGATCCAAAATGTATCTATCTTGTATTTCTCACCTCGCTGACCGCTCTATGAGACCCTAGGATATGCCCAAAGTTAGCCAGAATATTTATTTGACAATGTGCGATTTTTTAGATCATACATAAACTGTAGGTGGCAAGGACACTATTGGTCATGACCGGACCAAGCATGGACAATCTAAATGCAACATTGACAATGCAAACTGTGTATAAGTAGTACTGGGAATGATGAATCGCAGCAGTACCACCCACCTAACCACTCTGCATCCTGATCATGCCTGAAGTCCCCCAACCCATACCCCTCAGGCCGATTACGCCACCAGTGCTCCCTCCCACAGCCACAGAATTCCTCACTCACCTCAGAATGCCTGATCCCAAACCTTCGCTCAAGAATATTACCAACTCGAATGCATACATTGATCAAGTCATAACTCACTTGTGTGAGACCATTTTAATGCATATCATTCCTATTTAAGCTTGCCTCTTTGCGCAGATAGCAGCCAGAAACTGACATTGACGGATGACGATCTCAGCAGGGCCATAGTCCACCACCATAGGTTGTTGACTGCTCACACCATGGGTGCGCTACTTTCTCGGCTTGGTCATGTGTTTATTCTGATGTAATCGAGCAGATCAGATGGAACAAATGCCACTCTGGGCAAGAATGATGGAACTTTGACTACAGGACAGCGCAGCACAGATGAAAACATCTATTACAACCCTCCAGACAGACATCAAAGATGTCAAAGCGAGTTTGGTGCAGGTCAAAAAAGATCTACTAGAGAAAATCCATGGCATCTCCATGAATATTACCAGGGTCAATCAGAAGCTTCAAGCGCAAAGTAAGAGCGTCGTATATATTGCCATACTCATGGCCCATGTACGTTGTTTAGTGTTCTGCATAACTAACTTCTAACCTTTTGTGTAGACTTATAATCTCTCTTTTGGCGATGGCCACGACTGCCCATATGTTGTGGTCTCCTCACCAATGGGGCGCTCACCCGCTGAGGGGGATTTCTGGACTGGCAGAAATCTGCTGCCACCCCTGGAGTGTGTTGATGATTTTTGTGCTCTCGAGGATGCCCAGCTAGATGGGTATATCCACGGTTATAATATCACATTCCCTCAGCAGTGGATCTTATGCCAGGAGAAGCTCACCCTGTTGAGATATTACATTGGTTGTCAAGTACCCATTTAGGTTCATATGTTTTTCGAAGTACATACTGCATGGTTTATAATGTAGTGCCATTAGGACGTCTTTCATCATTCCAGGCAAATGCCCTTTTCACTTCCCTGCCTGCATACCTGCCCTTCTATCCTCAGCAGCTCAAAAGTCAACTTTGGCGTTAAGCCGAGGTGAGCCGAGTTGCAGCAACAATAATCTGGTTCCAAATGCATCTGAAAAACCACAGGAGGCTTTTCTGAACGTCGTACCCAAAGGTTTTGTACATGCCCTTTGTGTGCAAAGACCTATGAAGATATATCTCCTGACTTATAATATAAGGTCTTTCTGCCCAAAGGACATGCAGGAAAACCTCCCATGGTATTTTCAGATGTATTTAGAACCAGAAAATGGCCAAAAGAAGAATATGTAGAAATTTTCACTGTATTTGGATAGACATTTACACATCAGTCTTTCGGTCTCACAAACTTGCCTAAAAATGTATGCTTCTTTTGAATGGATCTTTCTACCATTACTCACTACCTGTTTGAATGGCCCATGATGACGATGACGAGCATTAGCCCCAATCACAGGCCCGTACTCAATCCTAATGCCATGGATCCCACATCAATTCCTATCCATATGTAGGATGATGCATGTTCCAAATCATGCACAGCAATGACGACAACAGTGACAGCGTTGATGTGCTCGGTGACAGGTAGCGCTCAAAGGAAAACTAAACTCTAGATGAGAAATCTAGAGACTAACTCTCACTCTAAACACTCACACTATCACCAATGTTTGTAAGTTTGAGGTTGAGTACAGTAGAAGCACTCGTGTACAATCTTAGACTTTGATAATTCAATGTAAGGCGTTCGAAAACTACTTCTGATTCTGATGTAGAAGACATTTACACAAGATACACTAGTTGAGATAATGAGTTATAACGACGTGGGGTTTTAATAGGTAGGTAGGAACTGGTCTAGTTCAGAGAACAAACGTCGTCTAGGCGAGCAATAGCTGGTCCAGATTACTTCTTAACTCAAACAATCAAAGAACACACAGGTTCTACAAAGAGCTCACAGGCTCTAGAGTTCACTAACTCTCAACACAAGTTCGCAGACTCGAGACAAAGAAGTACACAGACTTCTACAAAGGATACACAGATCCTACATCAAGTACACAGACTTGCAAAGAGCATGCAGACTCTAGAGTATGCTGACTCTTTCAATCATTCGAACTCAAAGTGTTCTAGGGCTTATTTCACTTCAACTACTTGTTCTTTCTTATTGGGTGACTTAGCAACGAATTACTCAGTCGAGGACAGGCACTTAAATCCGTTATTTGATTAGGTAGCTACGGGCCACTAGCACAAACGCGGGGGAATGCTTTCCTGCTGTTGTGTGTCTAGGTGACGGTATTTTATAGTATTCTATGTCTAGGTATAGGAGTCGCTTATCTAGACTACTAGTAGCGTGATTATGCATAGTAATACAAGTGATGAGTAATTATTCTATAAGAATTGTGTGATTCCGAGATATTCATTCAGTTATACAGGGAGGCGACGGGTTTTTATATTGCCTAGGAGTGCCATGCTGGTCCGTAGGCACTCCTGCCTCCGCTTTCCTATGGTGCCGTGTGGCTATTCATTCAGTACTTGTTTAATTGCCTTAGTATCTCAGTGGATGTAACCATCAATCGAGGATTGATCAAGGTACCGAGATTGTATGGTCGTGATCACTTGCGTGATCTAGACTGGTACCTCGGATCCCTGACTAGGCTATTCTTTCATGCAGGGTTCAGGGTTTCTCATTCATTTCTTTTTAGACTAAGTTCATGGAGGAATTTGATTCCATTGTGACTTAGTAACTATTTGAAGTGGTTTTCAGCTTTGTCGAGTTTGACAAGCTAATCTAGTTCAGGTTTTCTAACTTCTGGTTTTTGAGTTTGTCTAGATACAGTGAGGTCCCATTTGTGTGGTGACTATGTGTAGTCTGTTTTTAAACAGGAAATAGCAAGTAATCTCGAAAGGTTTGTAGAGTTGACTCATCTAGATGTCTTCTCTTACTTCCTCTTCTGTTACGGTTTTAGGTGCTTCAACACTGATCTAGATGACTCGACTTAGCAGTGCGAAGTCTCCACTCTAGTCCTTAGTACAGCTAGTAGTTTGCATTAATTTGTATAAAATTCACAAAATCTATGGGTAGCCTGATACCAAGCATATCAGCATATCAAGAGGCGAAGAGGGTGGCAACCAAGAGATAGGTGCAGGGTAGCCTGAAAGTGATGTTGTGACAGTGTGGAGGCATGGAAAGGAGAAGGAGTGACCAGGAGGGCGGCAGCACAGGTACAGTAGGAGGCGGAAACTCACCACATTACTTCCAGATGACAGTGATGACAGCCACTGCTATGCTACCAATAGCCCACAGCCCATACCTGTGATAGGATGGCAACATTACTGGCTCTCCAGTTGAATCGAGGACAATGTCAGCACTATCCTGTCCTCACCGACATCAATTCACTGTGATGAGCATACAGCTAGCTGTGTTCGACTGCCTATGAGGATGGGGGAGATGGCAGCAACCACTGTGCCTGATCATCATCGCTGCTACTGCCCCAATGGAATCCAACCCAACCTTGTCCCCATATATCATTCCCGGTGACTGCACCTCGCTACACCGCCATCTGGCCACTGTACCTATTTTCTAGTATGGTGAAAAGGGTAGTGCTGTTCGTGGGTATCTATCCCAGCGTACACCCACACCACAGTACTGACTGGATATTGCACAATTGCCCTTGCACCGACCCCCTACTGGCACATTGTTTTGCACCACCATTTGAGCATCAAAGATGATGATAGTTTGCATTGGGTTGTGTGGCCTGCATCACTGTATGTCATGTACCCTATGTCCACCCCACCTTATAGTGGTGAGCACCACTCCCACACCTGCCGTTCCCCATCTGTGGTGTTATCTACATCCCCATCTCTATGCAAGGCCCTATCCTGAGGGCAAAGAGTACATAATCCTATATTTAATAAAGCGTAAATTCCATGTATTTAATATATGATAATTAAAATCAAAACAAATTGCATAAACAAATCTATATGCTTATTTAGGCCACTGGCGGGCAGATTAAATATCAGTAGTAATGGCGGGCTTGTGATGGGGGGAAAATAGGGTGGTGGAGGCCATATCATTACTCAGTATAATGCACTATATAATGGTGCTTTGGTGTAGTGGTTAGACTACCAGCCGTTTGTTGGTCACATGATGCCTGTTTTTGGAAGTCCTGAGTTCGAATCTCAGCACTGCCAGAAATATGTCATGAGGTTATGAACTGGTTTGGCAGTGGTAGCTTATTAATACTGTTATAATTGCCCTATATAGACTGGGTTGTCGACTGACACTGCTGATGCATGAATTAAATCTGTCAACTGACACCAATTCATGCATCAAAGTAGCAGCCATAGGTGAACAGTCATGAATTTTGCACTAGTAACAATATGAACTTGGGCAAAATAAAGTGTCGACTAAAGGGTATCAGGCTTGAACATGTAGAAGATGAATGCGACCTCATCATCTCAATACTAATCTGAGTCTGACTCTGGCCCAGATGCAGGATCTCCATCATCCAGACCAAAATCAAGTGTAAGTCCCTCCCTTTCCAAACCCTTCAAAGTTTCCTCAGCCTTCTGGTCAAGATTGTAGCTCCATCCTTGCCCCATCACCCAGAGGTCGAGATTTGTGAGATGTGGAATGATGTGCAGTCGACACACTCATGAAGCTACCATGTCGACAAATGCAGAATTGATGAAAGACATGAGTGTAGTGGATGGTATGCATTTCAACAGTAAGAGATTGCAGAAACGGGACCATGGAGTGTTGAAGGGACCCATCTACCATCTCAACCTTGCTCAATTGTGCTACAAGAGACTGCATGATGGCGCCCATTCATAGAATTCAATGGTGAATTCCCACAATCTAGGCATGAGATGTATGATGTTCACAAGATTGTTGTCGAGATCTGCATCGACAAGGCATAATTGCGTCAGGGAACATTGTGACTGCAGTAGCATCTGATGAAGTGCGCCTAGCGTACCCACAGGGCACATTATTACTTGTTCTTCCATGTCAAACTTGTACAGTGTTGTTAGTGTGACTTCCTTCAGTGACGGTAATACCAAGCTGCATAGAAAACTGGGCGAAGTTGCTGAAAGATTTTCCATGGATAGACCCATGACAAGACTGGGAGGATTGGGAACAGGATGGACATTCAAGCTTTGAACACCACAGTCATTGTATGAAAATGAAAGGAGTTTTGGAGCTGATTTCATGATGGCGAGATATGTGGGAGTCAGCCAGTCTCCGGAAAATGGTCTTGCATCCGAAAAAGAGACAAGATTGGATGCAGGGAAACCTATGTATGCCCTTTTGTGCATGCCATTCAGATGCAAAATTTCAAGTTTGGGAGCAATCTCAAAGGCGCAGATATCTCCGGACGGTGGCTCATCTGCCTCGTCAGCACAATTGAGGTACATTTCTCAAAGTAGGTCGACCTTTCCACAGACAAGAGAGAGTCAGGGGAGATAGGATGGATGCATCGTCAATCTGATGGCTCTCCACCACCTCGAATGAGCCATCATGAGATCGAAGCAATGCTTCATTAATTGGGATAGTCCTTCCGCTGCCTCTGAGCGGGGCACTGAGCAATCGCACAAAAAATCAAAATCGAGAGGATGATTACGGGAGCATTCAAGGACGATGTGGAGCATTTCCACTGCATCAGCTGTCAAACAAGCCTTAGGCTTGTATGGCAATGGAAGTGTTATGGTCATAGAGGCCCATAGCTCTGGACAATGAGTTTTGATAACATTTCTCCACAAGCTGCACACTTGGCCAAGGTGCCATGGCCCCTCTTGGACTGTGAAGACATTGAATCCATCAAGACGACTCCCCATAAGCATACCTCTGAATCTGTTATCCTGCCACGAGCGGCATAAAATTTCAATCATGATCTCCAGAGGAACACAACGTATTGGAGAGAGTGCTGTTGCACAGTCGCTTTCGAGTGACTGGAGATGTGACCTGTGAGCCTCTAGTGACATGACGGCATTATGAAGCAAATCAAGATCGCCATCTATTTCAGCAAGAGGACTTTTCAGACTCTCAAGGGATGCCTTCAGCTGAGTAGTTTGCAGAGATGATGGTATGACATTGTGGTGCAGAAGGGAGGTGATGTTAGGTGGATGAGTGAAAGTTGATATCCAGTCATATTTGGCCAATATTTCATGAAGAGGAAGATTGGAATGTTTCATTGGAGATCAATATGACTAGGCAAAGGATCAGTTAACTCCTAAGCAGTATTAGGCGAGAAAGAAACATACATAAGTACTCAGTAATGAGCCCTCACAGTCTACAGAAGGTTCAATTCTCGCCTAATTGAGGGTTCAGTAGGGAGCAACTCAGACACCCAAAGATGGACCACAGGATGGCCAATTGTAGGAGGAGTACAAGACAGAGACATTGGATTTTTTTTTTTGGTTCTCCAAAGATGTCCAAGTCAAAACATAATAGGAATTTGGACCGCTGCCTTATTATTCCTGCAGGTGTGTATACTCGGTAGAGTTTAGGACTCAGTCTGGTGGGCGGCACAGGGACAATGACAACGAGAGATATAGCAACAAGGATTCCACATCTGATCTTACTTGAAGATTCCGGCCAAGGGGCCAGAAGGTTGAGCAGTTATCCATCTGGTTCTGGCCTCTAGGTAAACCTGAGGTCCTGGGAGTGCATAGCGCACGAGTTCAATTCCCAGTGAAAACACCTTTGGGAGGTTTAGTGGGTATTACATAAATGCTGAGTCTCACACTGTTCGGCACTCATGCCGTTCGTGTGTAAATTGCATTCCTACCCTGTCAGAGTTCTTCAATGGGGTTATCATCCCCCATCTCATTCATGGCCTGCTATTCAACAGCATTGCCATGCTGAACTACCTCTGGTATGGTAGATGGGCTGCCACTGGAGGGTGTGTTTAACAGGAGATACTTGCCACAGGTAAGGACCACTGGAGATATTTTTTTGTGTTTACTCGCCATGAAAGATGTCGCTGAGGTGTATTCAATTATCATCACTTTGATTGCATGCTGAAGGAAGTACTGTTCCCTCTATGCAGGAGGCACTTGATGGTCTCCACGATATGGAAGCATCCCTCTTCCATAGTGTCAATTATTTAATAACACAAGTTGCTATGTGCGCCTTCTCAAAAGGAAACCTCCTTTGCCACTCTTGACCCCCTCCGTGACACCGCTGCCAATTTCATTGGTCCAATCGTCGCGATCTTGACCCATCTTCCAGCCATAATTGATTATTTCTCTTGTGCTTTAGGATCTCAGCCAATCCCAGAATCATTATCAGCCTTCATCTCCAGACTTTACTGAGCCATGCTCTCAAATGCACAACTCGCAAGAGATGCTTTCCCACTTCTCAGTGCAGCTATTCTTAGTGTTGAGGCTCCACTGATCACCGAACTACGAGGATCTCATGGTCTGGAGGCATTTCTTCACACTTTGACATGGCTTCCATAGTTGTCATCCATGCACATGGATCTTTTGGATAACATGCCTCGATTGATATCTGCACTTCATAGTTATTGCCATGGCGCTCTGCAGTATCTCGATACTGTTGTAGAGTTCACCGTCTGTCTAGGGGATTTTATCAGTGATAAAGAGTGTATGGGAGGCCTTGAGTGTCGTGAAAAAATAGCCAGAGGCCTGTCCGATATCGGAAATTTTGCACTACAGAATACGGACTACGTTGTTGATCACCCTTATGAACTTGGACAGAAAGGTCAGGAGTTGTGGGTTAGATCTGAATATATGGGCTGGGACTATCTACATAGAGACCCTATATTACGGTTGATACCTGTTCTTTAATTCTATGGCGCCTTGACTTCCGGTCACCCTTCCCTGTCTCTTTGATTCTGGGGCTCGAGAAGATATCATCCTTGAGGTCAATGTCAGCATATATGCTGCAGGGGTTGCAGGATGTATATTGAGGCTTGAAGATCACCATATGGACACCCAGGTAGCAATGAGTGCCTCACTTTTCGTTTTGTGCCTGTGATAGAGGTTTTTTTGTTCCCTGCAGGCTCAAAAAAGCCTCATTGCCTCCATGCTCTTCAGCAGATGTTTAACCTCCGTTTCTGCGTTAGTGCGGCCTAAATTTGATGTTATGTTCTATCAATGCATGCATGCAGGTCAAATCCACAAAGGATTTATACACATGCCTATCTTCGCTCAATTAGACCTGGGGGGCTTTCCAGCAAAAATCACATAGAATGAGGGTCGATTGGGAAGCTTCCAAGTTCATGAATTTGATCCAGGTTCCACAGTGGTGACCTGGCTCTAGAAGCACAAGATGGCATATACTCGAACAAAAACTGCATTGGGTAAAGGGCACTTGGACGGCAGGACACACCAGTCAATATTTGTAGATGATTTGAAGTTCAGATCACTGTTTGTGGACCGAGAAGCAGCCAGTGTGCGTGGTCAATTGTTCGAAGTCAGACCATCAACCTCCATGGTATAACCATAAGTTCATTTACTCTGGTACTATCTCCCTTAATCTATCACCTGATTAATATCAGGCTTGTGTCTCTTCAATAGTGAGTCGCCATCCACCCCTTCAAGGTCCTGTAAGCCACAAAAGTGGGAAAGCACGCCTGTAGATAGTTCCATGTCTGTTCGTTTTGGAGGATGATGCTGAGTTTTTTCATTTGATTGATTTATTTATCTGCTGGATATTTGTCTGTTTTCAAGAGAGCCTCTAAGGATTAGTTGTGCAGAGCCAATAGTAGATATATCCTAAATGCAGGTACTTACAAATCGAGGGGAGACAGTGCTGCAATTTATGCTGGTATGTTACCTGAAGGCGCGCGCTTGAATGGTGAGAACCATGCTATATGCTCGGGTGATACAGCAAGCTGTTGGACTAGGCTGACATTTACCGTAAACCACGTTGAATGAAAGGTACTTGGACACCAAGGCACACCATCTGATAGAACGGAAAGACCCAGATTTTATATTTCGAACTCGGAAGAGTTTCAAGTGGTGGATACATGTGACTGCCTTTCTGTGAAGGTTCTCGGATCCTCAAGTGCTAGGAATGAGAGCTACCAGGATAGCCTCGATAGATGATCAGGCAAAGGCATGTTAGACGCAAGTTACTTACAGATAGCATGCGAGAACAGATACAACCAAGGGTCCTGATATGTCGTCCGAACCTCTGGACTGATGGAATAAGGAATGCTGACTGC